CTCACAGTTTTATTTTTATTTTATTTATTTATTTTTTGAGACAGAGGCCTGCTCTGTTGCCCAGGTTGGAGTACAGTGATGTGATCTTGGCTTACTGCAACCTCTGCCTCCTGGGTTCAAGTGATTCTTCTGCTTCAGCCTCCTGAGCAGCTGCGACTACAGGCGCGTACACGATGCCCGGCTAATTTTTGTATTTTTAGTATAGATAGGGTTTCGCTGTGTTGGCCAGGCTGGTCTCAAAGTCCTGACCTCAGGTGATCCGCCTGCCTTGGCCTCCCAAAGTATTGGGATTACAGGTGTGAGCCGCTGTGCCCAGCCTATGTTATCTTTAAATGTAAAGATGTATTCTTTACATTTAAAGGGGTATGGCCTTTATATCTGTCAATGGACATTTTGGTTGCTTTTACCTCTTGACTATTGTGAATCATGCTATAATTAACTTGAGTGTGCAGATACCTCTTGGAGATCCTGTTTTCAATTATTTTGGATATATGCCCAGAAGTGGAATTGTAGATCATATGGTAGTTCTATTTTTAATTTTTTGAAGAGCCTTCGTACTGTTTTCCATTGTGGCTGCATCATTTTACAATCCCACCAATAGTGTACAAGGTTTTCAATTTCTCCACACCCTCATCAACACTTGTTACTTTCTGTTTCTTTGATATGGGCCATCCTTATGGGTGTGAGGTGATATGTCATTGTGGTTTTGGTTTGCATTTCTCTAATGATTGAGGAAGTCGAGCGTCTTTTCACATGCATGTTGATCATTTAAAAATCTTTGGAGAAATGTCTGTTCAAGTCCTTTTTCCATTTTTAATTGAGTTTTTGTTGTTGTTGTTGGCTTGTAGGGGTTCTTTATAGATTCCAGATACAAATCCGTTGTGAGATATAGAATTTGCAATATATCGTGTCCTATTCCGTAGTTGGCCTCTTTATTGATTTTGTCCTTTGATATATACTGTTTTTAGTTTGGTTAAGTTCTATTTGTCTGCTTTTGCTTTTGTTTGCCTCTGCTTTTGGTGTTATATTCAAGAAACCATTGCTAAATCCAGAGTCCTGAAGCTTTTCCCTGTTTTCTTCCAGGAGTTTTATGTTAGGCCTTACATTTAGGTCTTTAACAGATTTTGAGTTAAGTTTTTTATATGCTATAAGATAGGGGCTCAGCTTCATTATTTTCCATATGGATATCTAGTTTTACCAATATCATTTGTTGAAGAGACTATCCTTTCCCCATTGTGTGGTCTTGGCCTCCTTGTTGAAGATCATTTGACCATATAGATGTGGATTTATTTGTGGGCTCTCTGTTGTTGGTCTATATATCTGTATTTATGCCAGTACCACACTGTTTTGATTACTGTTGCTTTGTAATATATTTTAAATTCAGTAAGTATGAGGCTTCCATCCTTGTTCTTTTTCAAGATTGTTTTGGTTATTTGGGGATTTCTTGGGATTCCGTATGATTTTGGGGATAGCTTTTTTCTATTTTTGCAACAAATGCCATTGGGATTGCATTGAATCTGTACATTGCTTTGTAGAATAGACATTTTAACAATATTGAGTCTTCTAATTTATGAACATGGGATGCCTTTTTATTTAATTGTCCTCTTTAATTTTTTCAGCTGTTTTTTTTTTTTTTTCAGCTGTGTTTTATAGTTTTTAGTGTATAAGTGTTTTTGTTTGTTTGTTTTGCTTTTTGATGGAGTCTTGCTCTTGTTGCCCAGGCTGGAGCACAGTGGCGGGATCTGGGCTCACTGCAACCTCCACCACACAGGTTTAAGCAATTCTCCTGCCTTAGCTTCCTGAGCAGCTGGGACTACAGACATGCGCCACCATGCCCAGCTAATTTTTTGTATTTTTAGTAGAGATGGGTTTTCACCATAAATTGGCCAGGGTGGTCTCGATCTCTTGACCTTGTGATCTGCCTGCCTCAGCCTCCCAAAGTGCTGGGATTACAGGTGTGATCCACCACGCCCAGCCTAGTGTATAAGTCTTTTACCTACTTGCTTAAGTTTATTACTAAGTATTTTATTATTTTGACACACAGTTGTTAATGGGATTGTGTTCTTAATTTCCTTTTCAGATTGTTCATTGTTAGCATATAGAAATAAAACTGATTTTTGTGTGTTATGTATCCTGCAACTTTGCAAATTTATTAGTTCTAACAGGTTTTTTTTTTTTNTTAGGGTTTCTACATATAAGATCATGTCATCTGTGAACACAGATAATTTTACTTCTTCCTTTCCAATTTGCATGCCTTTATTTCTTTCTCTTACCTCATTGCTCTGGCTAGAACTTCCTGT